AAAAAAAGAAAGAAAACAAAGAGAGAGAAAAAAAGAACATGTTAACTTAGAGGTCTAAAACTTAAAAAAAAGATTGTTTTTTAAAATTATCTAGAAAAGGCTTCTTCATAATTAACAATGCTACACACATGCACTCATGCACACACATGTTCAAAACTGGGCACACATATACTAGCACATGTGTGCATACACACACACACACACACACACACACACCCGCTAAGTTTGGCATACCTAATTGGCAGATGCTAATTTTGAATCATAGAAATTTTACACATTTACAAGAAAATATAAAGCAGACATTATGAATTGTTATCTAGAAAAATATTACAACAAAAAAGGTAGAAGAAAGTTTACATAATTCAATATAATAAACTATAAGAGTAATGACAATTACTATAGCTATCAATCTTCAATAATTTGTGAAGAATCCAGCCTCAAATGCAATGAAGCTTTATAAAATTTGTGATTACAGAGTGTGAAATATAACAGATGCTACAATATTTAGATGCCTGCTGGCATTAACCTTTTCCTCTACACAGTTCATTTCAACTATATGAAAATTTTATGTGTTATATAAAAGCAGAGAAAAAGAAACTGATTTGTAAAATAACCACATAAGAATTGATGGTGTGTTTTCAGCAGTGTGGTATCTGATTCTTTTGATCAGATGAACTATGCAAGAAAATAGAGAATTTGATAATACATATTATTTTCAGTTTCATACTGAGAAAGATGCATAGGTCAAAAAATAACACTGATGTTGAATTCAGTTACTTTCTCTATGCATTCAGAACTGATTTCTTATGCTGGGAGGCCTACTATTCACTGAAGAAATTGTCTTGCCTTGAAGGTTGCAGTGGAAGGATAATGGCATTGGTTCCATTGGAGATATAGCCAATGTTATATGTCTTTTTATTTTTATTTTATTTTTTGAGATGAAGTCTTACTCTGTCACCCAGGCTGGAGTGCAGTGGTGCAATCTTGTCTTACTGCAACCTCCATCTCCTGTATTCAAGCGATTCTTCTGCCTCATCCTCCTGGGTAGCTGGCATTTACCACCATGACCTGCTAATTTTTGTATTTTAGTAGAGATGGTGTTTCACCATGTTGGGCAGGCTGGTCTTGAACTCCTGACCTCAAATGATCCACCCACCTCAGCTTCCCAAAGTACTGGGATTACAGGTGTGAACCTGCCAATGTTGTATTTCAAAAGCAAGATACTTAAATTGCAACACCTGGTTTTTAAAAATACATTTTGCAGGTTATCAAATATCAATCTTCTCATTTAAAAAGTATCATCTTATCTATGATCACATTGTAAAATGATATTAAATTACAGACATTATTTTTGAAGATTTTTATTCATTCTTTTTAAACATTTATTTTTATTTCCCATCATATCAATTATAGGTTTTTCAGAAAAAAAGAAAAAGAATATTGTGAAAAATTCTCTAGATCTGCAAACTAGAAACCCAGAAATCGTTTTTGGATACCTTTGTCTTCATCTTTCCAATATCTAATAATTCATCCATTTATATCAATTATATTCTCTACATATCTGTTAAACCTGTCTGATTCTCTCCATTGCCACTTCCACTATCCTTCCCTGAACTGACTCCCATTATAAAAAGCCTATTAATTATTCCCACC